AGACCCGCCGAGGGGTGCCGGAAATTGCCGAGCACGCGGACGCACGATTCGCCCGGCAGACACACGGATTTTTCGTTTCGTACGGAACGAGATTGAAAAGCACAGCATCAGCTTTCAATTCATTCCGCGTAATTTTAACCTATACTCATGTGCCTATGCACCTGAATATAATTCCCGGAATCTAATTGCGTCGCGCAGCCTGGACCAAAGAGAGAATCGACGCTGAACGGATGAGTGACCATGGTAGAATGGTCGAAACGTGGAAAATGAAATACACGTTCGGTCTGTGAGGATGGCAAAAACGAAATTGAATGGACGAGAAAGATCGTTGGACCGGAGATTTGAAAAAGAATTCACTGGCTAACTGAACCTGACTCCTGCATCGATCGAGATGCTCCAATAACTGATGGACTTTCTGCGCGTAAATGTCCACTATCCACGATACGTTTGCTTCAATAGCACAATTGTGCTCTCTGTACTCTGTTGTAAAAGCTTATTCATAGCCCATGCACTCGTGTATCTTGGTTCCCATTGCTCGAAAAAGCTAGAAGCTGAACGTTTTGTTTCAAAGATGGATACCCGTCTCTTTAAAAAATATTCCAAGATTTTAAAGCTTTCCAATTGCTAAATGCGCGTAATTTTATTTCCCCGCGTAACCATTGTCCAATTTAACAGTATACGCTCCAAAGATTTAACGGAGTCGTAAAAAATTATGATTATAACATTATTCTACGCACGGCTAAATGGCAATTACTTGTGCCTAGAATTACAGTTAAACGGTAATTACGACCGTTTACAGCGTATCGCGATACACAACAGGCAAGAAAGCAAAGGAAGTGATCTCAAAGATGCGATCGTTAATGCGCATTTTAATACGCACATACAATCAGGTGAATACATATTTATACTGCGTGTGCAGCGGATACAGCACTGAAAATACTGGAAGCTCACTGACTCGGCAAATAAAAAAGAAATGGAAAAAACGAGTTTATAATAGAATTCGTTTCTAGAACACATATCTAAGGAACAGGATCGGTGGATAAATGTCTTAAGTAGAACTTGAATTTTCAGTAACATTCAGTGACTTGTGGAAATACTTGAATACTTACTATAAAAATATATTATAAAATATTCCATGAGTACATTGTGCGTGTTATATAAAATATTTTAAAATTTTACTAATTTTTCAATCGATATCATAATTATATCGATAAAGTTTAAAACAAATCTGAATGTATATAATACATAGAAGTTACAAGACATATATTGCAAACATATGTATGTCTAGTAAAAAACAAAAGAACAAAAAGTATCATACTGTATAAATAGCCATCTTAAACAGATATAATATGTGTTAAATATGGCCCCACTGAATAACGAGGTTTATTAACATAAAACAAGATAATTGATTTAAATACTTCTCTGATCTGTGCGGAACTTTACTTGAACTAAATACTTTGTAATTTCTATATACATTCTCAGATTTGTTTCACGCGTTGCTAATATAATCATAGTGTTCGGGTCTCGTACCAGTGCTAATGAAATTTCAAAACGTCTAGTATAACACATATAACACATTAAAAAAAAACAGTCTACAAATGTTCGAATACCTTCGTGAATAATAGTTTCTTCTCAAGTTACACATGTATAACCATATGTCTGCTTCTTATTTATTACATTTCATGTAGCAAATTGTTTATAGCAATTGTAAATAACCAAAAAAAAAAAAAAACAGACAAACAGACATGGACTTTCACCTGAACAGTATAAACCGTTGGCCAACTCGAGCAACGCCAGATTGTACTTGGTAAACGTTTTTATTGTGTTTCTTATCGAAGCATGACAACGCGGCGTGCTGTTTCGATCGATCCATCGGATCTGTTGAGGCAGGCCGCGATTTTCTTGCTGACGATAAACCGAGCGTCGCGTTCTCTAAGCGTAAACGCGCACAAGAGGAAGGTGGGAGGAGGCGCGCGAGCCGGTCGAGTGAGAAGTTCGCGATGCGAGAATATCCCCAGCGTACGACATGGCCGACCGCGGTTGGCAATTTGCGCCAAGCTCGCTTTTATAGCTAGGGAATGTTTCATGAAGCTGCACCGAACCTATACTGCATAACGTGACGATCGTTAGAACGTTTCTCGGAAGCACGTAACGACTTGACACTGCAAAACTTTGGAGAAGGAATATGGAAACGAATGCGTTGGTTGAAACGATGGTTTCAGTCTCAAATGGGGAACAATTTCGATGCTCGACGATAGAACCGTTATAATAGTGTTATATTGGTCGGGACCTTACCCGACCAGGTATCGAGGAGGTTATGATTCCAAGAAATCCCGAGTAATTTTTTTCTACGTTGAACGCTATAGGAATATGGATAGCCGACACATTTGTCCGTTTAACGTACAATGACTTAAGAAAGTAGGTATATAACCATTGATCACTTAGGTCAGGTATATTCTACCATGTTATACAACTAACTGTATATTTTGAATTAGCTTCTCGTTACATTGATTTAAATAATGGTGTCGAGTGCTGTATCATAGAAGTCTTCGCAAGCCTTCGTTCACTTTATGAAGTAGCCACTTGTGTTGAAATATATGCTAGATATATTTCTAATTATTATCAAAGGAAGCATATTCGTGGGAACATCTTTCTTTATCATCGAGCGCGAGTAGGATACGAATATCTGACAAACTCGTTTCTTTCTTCTTTTCGTTCGTTTTTCACTTGTTTCTTCTCTTCGAAAACCAGCGGAGATAGCGAGGGTCAGCTAATGAAATAAAATCCCCGCCAATCAACATGGCACAACCGTATCTGAAATTCTGTCAGATTCGTTGGCGTGTTCCTTTGATCCTGTTACCTGGATGGTTAATTGGATGCCCCGCTTAAAAGCGTATTACGACGCTGAAGCAGTTATCTGCACCGAGGAAAGTGGTCTACCGCTACGAGTTTCCAGTATCAAGTCCGATCGAGCTCGATTAAGTGCCTCGTCCTTGCTCGCTGCTTGCAAAAAGTTTCGTTATGCAACCGCACCGAATTCTCGTGGAATCTGAAACTGAGACCGAGGGTCGATGAATATTCCAAGCAGACGGGCGCGTGTCTGCGGCGCGGCGGTGGGACGCGACAACTTGAAAAATTCAAGTTGCTTGCCAGATCCCACGGAGAAATCGAAAGAAGAAGAAAAAAGTTTTGACCGAGAAGTTAAACCGCTGCATACTTCACAACCAACCGAAGTTCCATCGATCGTATACTGTTACCCACGCGGTGGAGGAGCTTCTTGCGGCTTGATCTTCCGCGTGCGTGCCTCGTATACGAAGTCGCTGAAATAGCGATCGATGTCCCTTTTATGGGGACTAATATGCCAAGTCCAGCAGTCTGACTCGTCTGATAGCGGCGGCCCTC